AACAGTAACTTTGTGTTCTTCCAAAAAGGCCTCATCGTTGTACACTTGGAGGGAGTCACCATCGAGACACCACGAGCTCTTGCCACGGCGGCTTCCAGGCGCATAAATAATATCAGGATCACTGCACATACCACGTGGAAAAGGTTCAATGACAGGGCAGTAATCCGTCAAGGATGACACCTCACCACCAGTATTGGGGCTCCAGAAGTACTGGAAATGATTGGGAAGATTGTAGTGGGAATTGGAGATGGCACAGTAGCCCACACCACGTCGGTCAGATGTGCAGTGCGTTTGACTGGTAATACTGGAGGTGTCACTACAGAACATTCCAGGGTATTTGGTCACACCATTCTCCATGCATTTCTCCTCCAGAAAATCGCATTCCGCATCCTTTCCCCAAGTCATTGTCTCTGCCATGGTGAAATTAGCCTTGTAAAATTTCATATCCGCAAACGCTGCAAGTGTTAATGCGGTGTAGTACATGGCAGAGTTACCACCACGAATGGGGCTCATCAACTCATCCTTCGCGTTTCGTCGTTCCCAATGTGAGGAACCCTCGTTATGAGAATCTTCCTCTTCCTCCAGTTCCATACCCTTGAGGTTCTCACATTTGTAGTGTTTCTGGGCTTCCTCCTTTGTTTTGTCGGATATCACCAGCTTCACATCGGTCTTACCACGTACACTGTAAGATTCAGACAACATATTCTTCTCCCTCATCATCTTGTAGTTAAATCCAAGGGCATGTGCAATCTCATGAGCAGCAACACGGGCGGCAATAGATGCGGCAAATACATCAGACATGCGGAAGTTCATGGCCCCTACAATGGGACGGCCTCCCTTCTCAAGAGTAGCACATGTGACTGCAAATGTCTCTCCAGGACCAGAAGCGAAATACAACACCATATCTGCATCTTCAACGCCATTATCCACATGTTCCTGTGGTATTGTGAAATACCGACAGGCAGTATTGCTTTGAATAGTCTTGAGTGCAGTCAAGATAGCGTTCGTAGTATCACGCTGCACAAGAAGACGATCCGTGTGCAATTTAATAGCGGTTGGAATAATATGATCGATGAGCTCACGTTTCTTTTGCATTGTGAAGAGATCGCCCTCCGTGCAATGCATTTCAGATCCACGAAAAGTTGGACGCATCTCATCTTCCGCCACACAGTACTTTTCATCATTTTCCAGATCCCGTGTGGATACATAAATGCGGAGTGGAGTCCATCCATCTTCACTATTCCCAACAGACGCGGTGTACGCCTGCCACGCGCCTCTTTTTCTTCCCTGCGGCATCTCCCGCACCACCGCAATTGGTTGCATGTCGGCTCTCCTCGTGATCTTATCATTGTTGCAGAGGTGGCCGGCAGAGGCAAGGCATCCAACAGTAGTGTACACCAGCACCACCAGCAACAACAACAAAGGAACAGTATGCGGAAAGCAATGCATAGCGGTTGATCTTGTTCGCATCTGTATATATATATATATAGAAAAAAACTCAAATAAGCAAAAACAAACTGTTGTTAATGTTGTGCGAAAAATAGCAACAAATTGCCTTCTAATAAAAAGAAAAGGTGAAAAAGAAGTAGGATTATTTTTTTTTTTATTCTGTTCTCACTGAACACTTAGAAACATTACAGCAAAACCACACAACATGGTATCTTTAGAAGAAGAAAAAGGTGTAATCAGTAGTCGTAAACAATAGCCATAAGATTAACAGCAAAAACAAAAATTAGTCAAACTTCTTTCATTTCTTATACATGTCGTCTCAGATCATCACAAGGCGTACATCTCATGTGCAGCACGATAACACAAATACACACACACATAATCATTCACAGACAGAGCACCGTTCAGGTGTTAAAAATATAGATAGATAGATAGAGTCCACCGCATCCGTCAGCAGTCTCAGCATCACAAGAAACACTAACCAACAAGAATAATGTAAACAACAAGTGCCGGAGAACCATCACCTAAGCGCGGGAATGTGAAGTAAACAGCAGCAGCAGAAATAACAAATATGCAGAGGAACAAAGAATAAGAAAATGAGGTAAATATATATATATATATATATAAACTAAAAAAAAAAAAAAAAATAGGATAATAGTAATAATAATAAACATATATATATATATACTTCATATTACCTTGACATAATCCTTCCCTGTTTTTGGTTTTGTTTTTGTGTTTTTCTTGTTTTATTTTTCTCTCCCATTTCACATAATCGTTTTACCTCCTTTCACAGGACCATTCTCTTGTGGAGATTCTTCAGCAATCTGCACTGGACTCAACAACGGCTGTGGCTCCCTTTGGCGGAAGTACATCCATAAAAGTGCACCCGCAACCGCAAGTAAGAGTGCGCCAAACATAATGAGAAGTGCCCCGAATACATAGACACTATTTTCTCCACCCACTCGAATAATAAGGTAACCGAAATAAGATGTCAGTGCAAAGCCAGCGAGAAGGAAAAGCACAGCAATCGCAAGAAGAGCTCCCGAAA